TCTCGTAAGGCTGTCCTGAGGTTACAGGTTATACGTATCCACTCGTTTGGTGCTCGGTGTTAACCTTCTCTTTCCCTGACTTGCTCGTCTTTACCTCCCCCCTCCTCCCTTTCCCTTCCTGAGTTACGAGTGGAGTCGGCCTCATCATGCACATCCAGTGCCCGTCCCTCCGGGAAGCCTTGTTTTCCCTGACGGCTCATTGTCTTCAGCATTCCGCTCTGAAGGATGAGCTTGTTTCTGTGATCTGATTATTAACGCCGAAATGTCACTGATCTTAAAAGTCATGGTCTCATTCAACTCTGTACTACCCTGGTGTCGGCACATGGCAGGCACTTGTCGGGCCCAGAGCAGAGAGGAGTTCTGGTGACTTTTAAAAAACTCAGAGAGAAACTCCCAAGAGAAACCTTTCAACTTTGGCAGGGGTTACCCTAGAGATAGTTTTAAACCCTTTGGACCCAGATAAGGAGACAGTCATTACATTGTATTTGACAAAAGGACTAACCTCAAAACGGCTCCAGCTAACAGCTTAATTGTGTACTGTCCTCATTACATATTTTTGAGTTGCCTCAAATCCACCCCCCTCCCCGGTTCACCTCAAGGTCACTCATCTGTGGTGGAGAGTCAGGAGCCTAACGCGACTCCACACTCAGAGGCCGCGCACGCCAGGCTCCGGTTCTGACCGAGACGCTGCTCACAAGTGAGGCGGACGTGTTGATGGAGCTGGTTTGACTGCTCTGTGTTTGAACTGAGGGACTTAGGACAGGTCGGGGAGCTGAAGTCAGAGGTCATTTTACACATTTTCACCAAGCCTGGTGAACACGCGGGCGCCCGGTGGGGTGAGTGGCAGAGGCCCTCGGGCAGCTCCTGGCTGACTCTCCGGAGCAGAGGCGGCCGGTGCGGCGGGGCGCCCCAGACTGCCTGCGGGGCGGAGGCAAGCTTTAGAGTTCCTCCTCCCGACTTGCTTGTCCTTTGTGAATGTCAACTTCCGTTAATGTTTTGTACACATTAATTCAGCAGTTCAGGTACTTAGTAAGTACACGCTCGAAAGCTTTTACCAACAGGAAACTGTGGCCAAAAGAAGTTTGGAGACATTATTCTAGAAAGCAGAAAGTAAACGGGATTAATATAGATTTATCCATATAGAACTGCATTGTGTGTGTGGGAGTGAGTGTGAGCTTGTGGATAACTGTATGCTTACTGAAGTCTTCCGTCCCGTGATAACTAATACTTAGTAATAACTAGCAAACACAGTGACATTTAATACAAGTTAGTCACTTTGTAAAGACCCACATTTACATGCCACAATGTATAAAGGTAGACATTTGTTTTACCTTAAAAATTTATTTATTCTAAGAAGGTAAAAGATTTACATGGTTTAAAAAAAACAAAACCCATATATATTTTTTGGAAAAACCCCTCTCCCTCTCCTTTAATTATCTGTTTCCCTACCTTGGACGTTTTAATTTGCTAGGATGAGAAAGAATCAACGCTTTACGGTCCCAACATCTGACCTTTCACTAACTTCGTGAATCTGAAGAGATTCCTTAAGTTCCTGGGTTTCAGGAATGCCAGCAGGGGTTTTCCCTGTACATGACTAAGCTAATTCTAAAGTGTATTTAGAAGAAAAAAAAAAGCTCAACACTTTCTCAACTATAAAATGAGGGGGTTTACTTTCTCTACTGGTTAGGGTCTACCTAGGGAACAGAAACTATGTCAGATATTTACATCAGTCAGAATTTAATAAAAACTAGGTACAAAAAAGAGAGAGAGAAAAAAGAGTTGGCTACCTAGCTGACGGAGGAGCTGAGGGTCAAACAGGGACTAGTGAAGAGACCCTGGGTTTCTCGGTGGTAAGGAGTAACTCCCCACCCTAGGTTGGAGACAAGGAGGAGGGACGTTACTTGAGCCCAAACCTGGGCTCCCCAAAGGAGCTGAAACCCAGAGAGCTGAGCCTCTTGTATCAGACTGTGTCCACAGAACCCAGCTGTAGAAGTCGTGATGCGAAGATGGAACTATAATTAAAAAGTGGGCAAATTACTAAAATAGACCTTCCTCCAAAGATACAGAGTAGCCAATAAGGCGAAGACGGTCTGTAGTGACTCGGGAAGTGCAAGGCAAAACTGCAGTGAGAGATCCTTTCACCCTTACTAGGATGGCTATGGTAACACATAAAAACAATCCCCAGACCAGCCAATGGACAATTACAAGTGGAGGTCAGGATGTGAGAAATTAGAACCCTTGCGCCTTGCTGGTGGGAACATAAAATGGTGCAGCTGCTGTGGAAACTTCGGCGATTCCTCAAAAATTTAAACATGGACTAGCCATCTAACTCAGCAATTCTACTCCCAGGTATGTATCCCAAAGAACTGAGAACTGACGCAAACCGATACTTGCGTACCCATAGCGTATATGCATAGCAGCATTATTCACAATAGCCAAAAAATGGAAACAGTCCAAGTGTCCATAAACAGATGAACGGATAAGCAAATGTGGTGTATACATACACTGGGGTATTTTTGAGCCATAAAAAGGAATGCAGTTTGGATACATGCTACAACATGGATGAGCTTTGAAAACATTATGCTAATTACAATAAGCCAGACAGAAAAGGGCAGTTATTGTGTGATTCCATTTATATGAAGTACTTGAATTAGTCAAATTCATAGAGACAGAAAATACAATAGTGCTTGCCAGGAGCTGGGGGGAGAGGAAATGGGGAGTTATTGCCTAATAGATGGAATTCTGCTTGATGATGAAAAGTTCTGGAAACAGATGGTGGTGATGGTGAATGTTACACAATTCTGTGAATGTACTTAATACCCCCCACAGGAGTAAATATTTAAAATGGCTAAAATGGTCAATTTTATGTTGTGTGTATTTTATCACAGTGAAAGTATTTTAAAAGTTAGATTTGCATTGGATAAAAACTTCCAATTATGAGTTATCACTGTAAAACACATTAGTCTTTAAAATTGGTGAAATAATTTTTAAAAAGATCATTAGAAAAATTCTGAGCGTGTATCTGTGCCGCCGAGGTGAAGAGACACTGCAGTCTGCTACTGTCAACCAGCAGACTCGTACTTGTGAGGACTGTCTTGTTCTCACTATTCCCCAAAGGAACGCATCAACATCGACTTCCCCTGAAGGTCAGTGGAAACACTACTTTTCATTAGTTTCTCGGATCTGTGCCTTTCAGGTAGTTGTTGACAAGGCCAGACACCTGGGGGGCACGTATCAGCAGCGATGAGGACACGCTGCGTGAGAACTGGGTCCAACTCACTGCAACTCACAGCACTTAGCTCTTCAGAAAGCCTTACTCCTATTCTGTGCACCTGTCAGACTCGTCCTACAGCTTTTTCCTTTTTTCACAGCTGCATCTTTTCTTTTCCCAGTTCCCTGGCCATCGGGGCCACTGTGGAATTCCTCTTTGCTCTCTGACAAGAGCGCTTCCCTGATGTTCATTAGCATTTATTTTATGGTTTCTCATAGTTTAAGTAAGCCCCTTATTTTTTACACCTAAAACTCTTAACTCATCAGGTTAATAAGAGCTATGGAAAGCATGTAACATTCTTCAATTAATTAAATACGTAGCCAGACATAAACATTTATATAAACACTTATACACCATGTTAGGTTCAGAATGGGGGGTGTGTATAAGAGTACCTGATGCCCCGGAGTTTACACTACCTTTGTGACCTGAAAGATCACCTAAAATTTTAGTTCAGAGTGATCTAACGTGAGTAGTGCCATCAAAATATGATCACAAATATGGTTCCATGAAACATGTGCTTACAATTAAAAAAAAATCCCAAAACACACATGGAAACGAGTCACTTGGAATGAGTTACTCAAAGAGCAGAGCCAGACACAAAGACTGCAGAAATTGGAATTATTAGAAGTAGATATAAATGTTTAATATATTTAAAGAAATAAAAAAGAATATAAAATGATGAGAAAGTAACAAGAGACAATAATATTTGCAAAAATAACCTCCGGATGTGAGAAACAGACTAAAGGACAAAATTACTAAACATTTCAATACGTATATAAGGCCTTTGTTATAAAACGACTAATGGACATTAAAGAAGGCCAACATAAGTGGAGACATACCATAAAATCATGGGTGGAAAGACTTTCAATTGCAAATTTGTTGACATTCCCTATAGTGATCAATAAGGTTTGTGAAATTCCAATAAAAATGCCGGCAAGGTTTTTTTCCCTGAGCATGACCAAACCAGTTCTAAAATGTATTTGGAGGAAACAAAGTCAAAAACTGCAAAGAAGCCATGAAGACCAATAGATCAGAGGGCTGGCCCCGCCAGGTAGCAGCGTTGCAGAGGCTAGGGCAGTTTAGACAGTCTGATACTGGCAAGAGGATGCCACACAGATCAGAGACACACGGAGCTCTGACAGATGAGAGGTGGGAACGCAGTTTGGAGGGTAGCCGAGGGGCTGACTTCGTTTTCAACTCCAATCTTTCCCTTCAAACTGTTCTCCATATTTGCTACCAAAATGAGCTTTCTAAAACACAGAACCGGCTGTGTTAATTCTCCACCAGATGTATTGTATAACACCCTGCTGTCTATGATAGCTTTCTCCCATGTGTGCATTAATAGGTATTTCAGTGGTTACATACAACTGGAGAACTGCTGGATGAAACAAAACTAAATAGGATTTTTTATAGCAGTACCCCTTACAGATGTTGATACTCTTTTAAGGACCGCAGATCTCTAAATAGAGGGAGAACACCCGGCTAATTTCCCCAAACTTGTCAGACCAAGGCATCAACATTTTTTTTTTAATAGCAGCGTGATGAACTGGTGTTTCTTGGAACGTATGCTGGGAATCAAAATAGTTATTTCCTTAACTGACCCAGCAGCAGGGTGATGTGTGTGGCAGACCGGGCATAATGGTTTAGGACAGGGAAGAGCTGTGGGCTCCGACTTCTCCACGTCCTTGCTCCCTCACTTTGGTCAAGTTACTTAACTTCTTTGTGATTCAAGTTCCATATTTAAAAAATGGGAAAAACAGTATATTCACATGTAATGTTTTGTATATTTAATGATGCCTATCATAAGATTGCTCAGAGGATTAAATGAGTCACTAATAACAAAATATTTTTCTTCCTGCTTCTCCCCACCCCTTAAAACTGGAAATGTGATTAGAATGAATTATTCAAATGAGTCCAAGACTTACTTATGCTTTTACTATTGCCCTGAACAACTTGCCCCATTTCCTGTATACCCAAGTGCTATTTTTAAAGACCAGCTCAAAAGAAAACCTCTTTGGAGAATTTTCCTTAATCCAGTCCCCTGAAAACAGAATTCATGCTTTTCCCCATTTTGAGTCCACAGTATTGTCGTATCATGTAATTACAGCTTTCATTATGCTCTATCACAGGTCATTAGCTTCCTGCTTTTCGTGTTAGAATAAGTCAGGGAGGTAGGTAATGTTTAATCCACACATTTTTTTAATGAGTTGAGATTTTAAAGGTAATTTAAAAAATACAAAAGAACAATTTAAATGGAAAGTTGAATTCAGAGGAAATAATGAAAGACAACAATAAAGATACTGAGTGTTTAGCATGTGCCAAGGACATGGCCTTATATTTTCTATTTGAAAATATTTTGATTTCTAGTCCTAACCTACTGAAAAATAAGGAGAAATTTATTAAAGAATCCAATCCACTGCCCTATAATACTTTGTAAATAAAATCCAGGCATCTTGAAACAAATTTGCTGATAATTTGACTCCCACAATTGTAGCATAAAGTATAAATGAAATTGAAAGCAAACAAAAAATGAAGTCATTACTTGCATCTATTTGCAATTAATAAACTTAATAGCACAAACTGAGAAAAAAAGTGCTTGGATCGAAAGTCTCACTATACAGAAAAAATGGTTTACTCTTACTGGCAACAAAAGATTTGAGGGAAAAAAGTGCTAATCAAATCAAGAAATATTTACATAAATGCTGTTATTTCTAATAGAGGCAACCTAGGGAGGGTAACCCCTAAATATACATACAATACGGGATGACTAACCAAATTAAGATTTATCTCTATGAAACCATTTAAAAGGCTATATATATAGTTCTTATTAACATGGGTAAATGTTTAAATTATAAATTTCACAAGAACATGGTCCTTACCTAGTTTATTTTTCACTGTTTTATTCCTAGGGCAGGGACTAAGTCCTAGCAGATAAATTCTTTTTAATTAAAGTTTTTTAAAATCAGTATTTCATTATTTTTTAAGAGCAGTTTGTTTAGTTCATAACAAAAGTGAGAGCAAGGTGTAGAGCTGCCACAGACCCCCGGCCCCACACTCACACACCCTTCCCAGTTATCAGCGTCTCCCGCCGCTTAGAATCGATGAACCCACACTGACACATCAGAGTCACTCAAAGTCCACAGTTTCCATTAGGGTTCACTTCTGGTGTGTGGTATATGGGTTTGGACAAACGTATAATGACATGCATCCAGTATTATAGCATCATACAGAGGATTCTCACTGTCCCAAGAATGCTCTGTGCTTTCTCTCCATCCTTCCTCACATTCCAACCCTTAACCTTTTTACTGTCTTCAGTTTTGCCTTTCCCCGTTTGTCATATAGTTAGAATCACAAAGTATGTAGCCTTTTCAGACTGGCTTCCTTCATTCACTAATGTGCATTTAAAATTCCTCCTTTTCATGGCTTGATAGCTCATTTCTTTTTAGCGCTAATATTCCACTGTCAGGATGTACCTCAACTTATTTATCCACTCACCTACTGAGGGGCCTCTTGGTTGCTTCAGAGTTTTGGCAATTATGAATAAGGCTGCTATAAACATCTGTGTGGAGATTTTGGGACGTACATGTTTTCAGTTCTTTTGGATAAATACCAAGGAGGGTGATTGCTGGATAGTTCGGTAAGAGTATACTTAGTTTCCTGAGAAACCGCCAAACTCACTGCCTTCCAAAGTGGCTGAACAATTTTGAATTCTCAACAATGAATGGGAATTCCTTTGCTCCACATCCTCACCAGCATTTGGTGGTGTCAGTGTTATGGATTTCGGCTATTCTAATAGTTAATAGAGCACATGTATTTCAAACAAATAGTTGATAAGTTAATGAAAAAGCAATGTTTACTGAAAAATATAAAATTGTATAAAATGTGCTTTCTGAGAAAAATCTTCATAGAAGAAGAACTGGAACGACATACAACCAAATGGGAAAAGAGGTCACCGGCTATTTGTTTAAAACGGCTTTATTGAGGTACGATTTTACATGCCATAAAATCCACCCATTGTATAGTACAGTTCAGTTATTTCATTTATACAGTTGGGCAATTATCGCCATAATCCAGTATCATGGTCAATTTCTGTTTTCTCAATCCATCTTTTCTGTATAGTAAAGGAGGACTCATTCCTTGAAAGGCCCTTTAGGGGAAAGTTGGGTGGAGTCGAACTATAAAATTACCTATGAAATTACTTTCTAGTCTAATAACCTCTCTCTTCAATTTGACACACGTTATCTTTCTAGCACAAAATGGATCCTAAAGGTAGCGGTAACGTCTTTTGCTACAGTTAGAAGGAAAACTTTTAAGGACTGACCAGGCATGACACAGCCTAGATTTTCTTCATGATTCCTGGTCTTCTTGTAAATATATAAAAGAAAAAGCTCCACAGAACAACGGTGACAATCGCAGTTCCCACCGGAGATGTAGGTACTGAACGGAACGACATGTGAGCGGTTCTCTCGAGCTCCCCATTGCTGCTGGCGGAGAGTGCAGTTGGCAAGCTGCCGGCGCCACCCAACCCACCTGGGGAGCTGGCCTTACAGACCCCAGGCTGGGGCCACTGATGCTCGACGAGGCGCCCAGAGAAGGGACCTTCTGTGTATTCCCCCAGCTCCCTACAACAGACAACCCTTCGGGAAGGAGTCGACTGCGACAGGTTGGCGCCTAAATACCCTCCCCAGCCCCGGCTCCCAGCGCCTACAGCCTCCTACCTGCAGAGAAGCAGAGCAGGGACACCCGGTGCCTCAGGCGGGCCAAGCCTAGAATAGTGGGAGCAAAGAACATAGCCTCATCGTCGGGGTGCGCGATCACCAAGAGGCTCCGGGTTCCGCCTCCCAGCAGGCCAGCCTGCTCCTGGCTCTTCCTTCGCTCCCAGAGGTCCCAGACCCGGACGAATTCCCCATGCCAGGACTGCCGCCGCCAAGCACAACAGCCCCACCACTTCCATGCTCTGATGAGGCTCTGCGCCTGCGCAGGAGGGGAGGCTGCCGCCCGGTCCGACTCCGGCGGGAAAACTGCGCTTGCGGAAACTACGTTCCGAGTGTAACTCGGTCCTGCCGGCCGCGCCAACGGCTCGAGGCTTTAAGCGTCGCGCTCCGCCGGGAGCTTTCACTCGGACGCCTCCCAGCACCACTTAGTGCGAATCCACTTTATGCGGCCTTTACGAGGGCCTGCGCCTGCTCGGTTTCGGAGCTGAACCGAACTCCTTGCCGACCGGTTTTCTACCCTTGTCCACACAGTACCATGGGCTCAAGGGGAAGCGCCTGAAAAGAACGCCCCACATCTTGAGTACGAGTCTCTCCTCTCTTCGGTCCACCCTTTTGTCACTCGTTTCTTAAAACCGGGCTTTATCGTAATTATCCGAGTGAACACCGACTTCGTTTTCCCGTCCTAACTTTGGGATGTGGGCTGGCGGCTTCTCTAAAGGAAAAGTATGAGGTTCCGAGGCCCGTCCGGTCAGTTCCCTGGAAGAGCACGGCCGAGGGCGCACTTCGCGGGCGCGGGGGCCCGGGCTCCTCGGACAGGGACCAGACTAAGGGCCTGTGACATCACGGACGAAGCGGCCTCGCCCTGCGAGTCAGTGAGGTCTGGGTGCGAGCCGCAGCCCGGGGCCTGGAACACCGCCCG